CTATTAATAATTAATAATTAATAATTAATAATAATTAATATTATTATAATTAATAATAACAACTTTACATATTTATGTATGTGCATTCACATTGGCATTGGTATACGTATGTATAGTTATAGAAGATCGCTCACTTTATACATGGAACTAAAAATACGATTATATTTTTTGGCAGATTTATCAAGGCGACCTATTCTGATGCTACCTAACGCAACAATTGCGTTATACGAACGTGCCTGCAATTCAAATTAATCTCTCTGAAATAGTGATAAATAAAGGATATAAATGATCGGGGAGAATCGCGATGATGATGATGATGATTTCACCGTCTTAATTTCCCTCTTTTTGCTTTCAGGTTGTCGCGGTACACGTTGATCCCAATATCTTTGACTCATACTACAATGGATGCTGCAATGGAACCTTCTGGCCTCTCTTCCACTCTATGCCGGATCGAGCGACTTTCATCGCTGAACATTGGCGCGCGTATTCTGCGGTCAATGAACAGTTTGCTGCGAAAACGGTATGATCCTGTGCCTGCGTGTGACGCTATTGATCGCCCTTTGCTTGTCTGAGAATATTTCTTATTTTCATTTTGTTAATTCATAAAATGTTTTATAAATCGTCTTTAAGGCTCCTGCTGGCCTACTGTAGCCATCTTGAATTATGATGTCAGAAGCGAGAAAACACACATGATGGAAATTCTTGCAAAATACATTAAAATAGAAATGTTTGAATAAAACAGACTTATAAAAATATAAACGAAAACTTTTCTTTTGTTTTTTTTAATTACTTTTTCGTTATGTACATATGTAGGTCGGTGCCTTGGAACAAATTCACAAAGAACAAGAAAATCAACATAACGGCACGCCATTGGTATGGGTTCATGACTATCATCTGATGTTAGCCGCCAATTGGATAAGACAGGCGGCTGAAGAAAAGAATCTCAGGCTTAAATTAGGTTTCTTCCTTCACATACCCTTTCCGCCATGGGATATCTTCAGGCTATTTCCATGGGCCGACGAGATTCTGCAGGGTATGCTGGGTAAGTGAGCTTTCTAATATCGTGAATTTGAGTGAGCTCGGTAATTAATTTCTAACTCTCTTTGTAATTTAGGATGCGATATGGTGGGTTTCCATATTCAAGATTATTGCTTGAATTTTGTCGATTGCTGTCAGAGATGTCTCGGCTGCAGGGTGGACCGTAAGAACTTGTTAGTCGAACACGGCGGTAGAACCGTGCGGGTAAGACCATTGCCGATCGGTATACCATTCGACAGGTTTGTCTCATTAGCGGAGACCGCCAACAAGGTCATGCAGTCAAATCAGAAGATCGTCCTCGGCGTCGACCGACTTGATTACACAAAGGGCCTTGTTAACAGACTGAAAGCCTTCGAGATGCTGCTAGAGAAACATCCCGAGCATCGCGAACAGGTCATTATTTAATACGTTTGCTTGCGAGTTTTTTTTCTCGCAAAAATAAATTGCCGCTGGTATCAGAACTGTCGAACGGTCCTATTCAATCGTACGTGGCGTATGTTAGGTGACGATGCTTCAAATCGCAGTGCCTTCACGCACTGACGTTCGCGAGTATCAGGATCTGAAGCTCGAGATGGATCAACTGATCGGCTGCATAAACGGTCGCTTCACGACACCCAACTGGTCGCCCATACGTTACATTTACGGGTGCGTAAGCCAGGACGAGCTAGCAGCGTTTTACAGAGATGCCGCCGTCGCCCTCGTCACGCCGCTGCGGGACGGTATGAATCTAGTTGCTAAGGAATTCGTTGCCTGCCAAATCAATACGCCGCCGGGAGTGTTGATAGTGTCGCCGTTCGCCGGGGCCGGTGAAATGATGCACGAAGCCTTGATTTGCAATCCCTATGAGATTGACGAAGCCGCGGAGGTGATTCACAGGTACATGACCGTTCATTTCAATTGTAACCAATCTAATCTGGACAGAATAAATTATGCGTTGATTCCAAGCTTTATAATTTAGTTTTAATTAGGATGTACTTTGATCACGCAGTCCGTGGTAACAGTGAATCAATTTAAATCGTTTCGATTTTAACAGAGCGCTTACCATGCCCGAAGACGAACGTACGTTAAGAATGAATCACTTACGTCGGCGTGAAAGGATTTACGATGTTAACTATTGGATGAAGTCTTTCCTTCAGGTGATGGGATCGCTCGAGGAGCACGATTCCGTGGGTGCTACCACGATGCAGCCCGTGACCATGGATGATTTCGATGATTATTTGAGCAAGTAGGTATCAGATGTGTTAAGAGATGTGCATGACTGGGCCCGACCAGCGCATGCGCATGAACGGGAAATATCCATGAAGTATGAGACATACAAGTGTATAAGTAACGATTATTGCACGAGGTAATTATTATCTCGAGGTAATAGCGGTTACCTTAGCGGTTCTTGCGCGCTTCAAAAGGAGCACTTTAAGGAGAAAGCTCACTACATCGATATTTTAGATTTTTGTCAAATTAGTGTTAAGTAAAATAAAAATAAATCAGCTACGCTTCCAAGCGATACTATTAAACTAAGCATGAGTTTGGGTACGTCGCAGCGTGATGATGTAACGCGGCTATGCTTATGTCGATGGCGATGACGATGATGAATTACAATGCATTCTCTTGCTATGTGAGATGTATCGATCCTAAATATCCTACCCAAACATCTCCACGATCTGTAAATGGGGTAATACGAGAAAATTGAAGAAAATGCTTTACGAGAAACGGCGGGCCCGCGCGAGCGAATGTTACCTGACTCATGACGAAAGCCGGATAACGATCCAGTGACCACCACATGTCCCCTAGGTACATCGGTGATAATCATAAATTGGCACTTCTATTGGATTACGATGGTACACTAGCGCCCATCGCTACGCATCCTGACCTGGCGATTCTGCCGCTCGAGACGAAGAATGTCCTGCAAAGGTTGTCGAATATGTCGGACGTTTATATTGCGATTATATCGGGCAGAAATGTGAACAACGTGAAATCAATGGTCGGGATAGAGGGTATCACGTATGCCGGGAATCACGGATTGGAGATTTTACATCCGGACGGTAGTAAGTTTGTGCATCCCATGCCTGCCGAATTAGAGGATAAGGTAGCAAGTTTGATGCAGATACTTCAAGAGCAGGTACGCGAGATCCATTATTGATGTCTACAATAGCAAGTAGGACAAATAATATAAATTAATAATATAGATTATTAGATCTACGTATATGATATCGTTTGCGAAATGTTTTTCTCGACGAAAGTCTATGATTATAGGATCATTAACAAAATATTATCCATTTAATTTATGTGCATCCCGTTTCCCTTGTTGATAAAGCTGTGCAGGGACGGCGCTTGGGTCGAAAATAAAGGTGCACTCCTCACCTTCCACTATCGTGAAACTCCGATGGAGAGTCGCCCAAGGATGGTCGATCAGGCCAAAAGACTTATCGAGAACGCGGGATTCAAAGCTTGCACCGCGCATTGCGCCATCGAGGCAAAACCGCCGGTCGAGTGGAATAAGGGCCGTGCTTCTATCTATATTCTGCGCACGGCATTTGGTCTAGATTGGAGTGAGCGTATCAGAATTATATACGCTGGCGACGATGTCACAGATGAGGACGCGATGAAGGTACGAACGATCAATTTCGTCGCTTCTGATCCGAACGAAGATCACTTCCATTCTTTAATCCATTAGAAATGACATTCGCATATTGCATAGTCATGAAAATTTGAACTTGCTTCTGCATAGGCGTTGAAAGGTATGGCTGCTACTTTCCGCGTGGCGTCCTCGCATATCATTCGCACGTCCGCGGAAAGACGTTTACCCAGCACGGATTCGGTTCTGACGATGTTGAAATGGGTCGAGAGGCATCTCAGTAGGCGTAAGCCTCGCAACAGCATCGACATCCCCGGCATTCCATCACGATTTCGACGCAGCAGCGGCGGCATCACGATGGAGATGTCTTATACTCCGCCAAAAACGCCTCTCGAATCCTAGGTGATGCTCAAATATCCCTCGTTAGTAATATCAGGTATATATCCGGCGATATATATCTAGTATAGGATTATAAGGTACTCGTAAGAGCGTAAAGTCAGCCGACACAAATGGAGGAGCAAGAGGTATCGAAGGAATCACCGCGAACAGTTATCTGCGATAAAAGGATTGGAAAAACAAGTTAACGAGGCTCACGCCTAAATCATACGTCGAATATAGCCATTAAAGAGACTGTCTATTAGAACGACGAAAGAAACGGTACGGTTCTTTTTGACCGACAAGTATAATAAATGATATTATACTATCAATAGAGTTACCAATAGAATTCAAGTAAGAAGAATCAAATCGTTCTGCTGACTCTAGCTTTTAATGTCGATCGATGTATTTTCCGATACCAGTTAGACTTTAGTCCGAGAAAAGAAATATCGAGCTTGTACGAAGTACACCGCGATATCGCGATCAATGTTTTCTGTGTGACTGAAGCTTCTATTGTATCTCTGTAACAGAAAGATGTATATATCATATATCTATTTTTTGGACGTATCTATTCTTACCGAATTTACAATTGAATCATGTGGAATGCGATGTACTTCTCCACAGAGATATAGCATTTAAATCGCATCGCTCAGTAAAACAACAAACATTCAGAAAGTAACAACTAATTCTACATTTTTAGTTGTGTTTTTTCCTCGTTAACGATTTTTATCGATAGTGTAGTTGTGACAAAATGAAAAAACATATCGTCTTGGGTCGTCAACATCTACGAAGTATGTGTTTTTTTTTAAATGTTTAATTTATTTGTTTTTTCTTCCTCTTTCTCCTCCTTATTTTTTTAAGAAGGATCAACTGCATTACGAATATTAAAAATGTTAAATCCTTAGACTTCGGATAAGTGTGACATTAAGAATTTTAATTCTTTTATTAGACACTGTTTTTCTTTGAGAAGAAAAAACGTATTACAAGATACGTTTAAATCATTCATTGGTATTAAAACCTGTCTAACGGAGCAATCGGAATAATTTTTCGAGTCTAAGAATAGAAATTTAATTCATAATATTAAAAAATTTCTTTTCATTCAGTTATGCTCATTTAATACTGCTCTGCAATCGAGTTATCAAGAGATGCAATTTATATGCAATTTATTTAATGCAATGCCAATTTATATTTTGTATTGCGTAATTTACGATAAAAAAATGATATCAATATAACGATAAGGAATTCTAAAAGTAATACACTTTCAGTAATGAAAATTGTGCGCTCTACACAAATCTTTTAGCAAATGTGTAAAAAAACTGTAGAAACGAATGATCATTTTGTGCGAGAGAGAGCGAAAAAAGCAAAGTCTAAGTAAAGTAGTTCCAACGTAGGTTTTACACTTTTTCTAAGGATAAATATGCAACATGTAAAGGAAAAAGAAACGAGAGAAAGTTAATGGCATTTATACTGATATAGCTGTTCTTGGTTATGTGTATGTCGATTCGCGATAATGCGTAAGAAACAGCTATATTAGGATCTATGCTTTTTACGGATAATGTTTAAAGATATCTGTCGTTGTTGCGTGTTACTCCGTGCCGCCGGATAATACTGACTATAAACTGGTACAAACTGGCAGAGTATATCCGTCTCTTGTCACATGAGCTTATTTCGAGCAGAAGAGATTTTCTGAAAGTAATGCATAACTCGCTAGCGTTGTTTATTTTTATTGCGTTTGCAACGTAATTTGATAATTGAAAGAGGTCACTTATTGAAGAGTAAGTCTTTGAAAACGTGACGAATTTAGCGATTTAAAATGAATTACAGAAATAGAATTTGCTTTATGATGAATACTATATGGAATTGTACAAATAATATATTATTATTTATTAAAAATTTCCTCGGGCGAGAAAAATTATTTCGGATTAATTTTTATTCTCGTCGCGCAGCTTTGTTTCTAAAAACAGGCTTTTTTTTAGATTTGTTCTTTTAAATTAATCAATCTCGCGTTTTTATTTTATAATTACATAATTTTTATATATATTTCCATCTATTTACTTGTTCATTGCACTCAGCGTCTGGCGATACTTTGCATTTGTTACCTGCAATGTAATTCGAAAACAAATGTTTACAAGTTAAATTAATTCGTTTATTCATCAATAAGTTAATGATGTAATTATCGCTGCTAGTCGCACATAGAGCAAAAGAATTTAGTGATCGAAAGGCCAGCGTTGCGTAATATCTAATAAGAGTGATTAGCAATTAAATGTATATCAACTATTAGTATCTCGACGGCTTCGCGCGTTGTGTGAGCGCAGATCAGAGTCAATAATCTTGTATTTTCACCACCGTATTTATTAGTCAATTATAACAATCGCCAGTTAATAGATAATAAACGAGACGGCTGACGATTAGATAAATGAGAGAGAAAAGGATGAAAGAAAAACTGTAATAGCAATCAGTAAGAAACGCAATCAGTAAAACGAAATATAAATTATTGCCATAGCGAGCCGTACATGTCGAAATACATATATCCCATAACGCGTCATCTTTGTTGAAAGTATACAAAGAAAAGAAAAAATATGTTTGTATATATATAACGAGATATAAATGTGTAAATATACACGTGTATGGAGTCTTACCATGTGCCCTTAAAATAAAAATCTCTACCCTTCCTGACTCCTGACTCCTTATAAAAAAAAATAGAAAAAGATGAAACACAAAAATATTCTATGTTTTATATGAGTACTTAGAGAGTTTTTACCTCGTTATATACGTTTACCATTATAAGTATGTAGAAAACAAATCGCGCGAGATAGTGCGTGAATGAACGATTAAAACTGGTTTGCTCCTGTCATCGTCGAACCGACTACAAAACACACATTGCTGAAATAAACATCGTTTATAAGTCTCTCTTGTAGTTTCTTCTTTTTTGTTTAGATTCACTCGATGAAACATCTACGAATATTAGAAATCAAAGTAGAATTTTATTTGTAATTTCATGCGGATATAAAATGTGTATTAAAATATATACGTCAAAATATATTTTGACGAAATTATATAAAATTTTAAACAGAATCTAGAACAACATTGATTTTAAATATATCGAGTAATAATTGCTTGAAGAAACAGAACGCATGTACATATAAAATATATATGAAAATATGTGAAAATACGTGGCATACAAAATTTTAAAATAGAATTCAAAACAGAATTTCTAATTGCACGTATCATGTAATATGACAAATGTTTGCAAAATTAGAATGTACATATGTATAAAATGTATATTAAGATGTATACATACGTATATTTGGTATAAAAAAAATTAAAATTAAAAAATAAATAGAATAGAATTTCATTTATATTTATAACACGGAAAACATTTAAAAATTAGAATTTCTGTAGAATTTACAAGTACAGATATGAAGCAGATTGAAATACAAAGGTACATCACAAATAGATAGTAT